GATGAAGAAGAGAATGATGAAGAATTGAATGCCAGTTTGAATAAAACAATCAATGAAATATTCAAACAGGCAAAGATAGACCAGAACGAAGCGGAGAACGAGGAGCAAACACAGAAAGAAGATGATTCACAACCATCTACAGTCGATCTTGCTGCATCTACACCAAAGCCAAAAGAAAAGGAGCAAGATGATTCTGCTCCAGGAGCTGTGAATAGGGAAAGCATCCCAAAAGAAGGAGATCAATTGGGGGAAGTTGCAACAGAGGACACCCAGAAAGCAGTTCCAGAACAGACATCTGCAGAAGAAACCGAACAAAAAGGAGCTACCAAAACAGCAGATCCAATGGAAGTTGATAAGGAAACAAGAGAAGAAGGGAATACAGGGCAAGCTGCACAAAAGACTGCAGAAACTGACAGCGAGAAGACGGTGTCAGATGATGTTGTTCGTGAAGAGGCTCCAAAACTGACAACCGAAGCTGCCGAGAAGCCTAAAGTGACGAGGGAAGACGACATTCCATCCTTTGATCTCAGCCCTCTCAACCGTCAAACACCAACAACACCAACAAAGTTGACTACCAACACGGCAACAGATCAACCAGCAGAGCCTCGCAAAAGAAGAATCGTGATAAAGAATGTACAAGGAAATGAAAAGAAGGCAAGAGCAACACCACCACCAGAACAGCCACAAAGCACCCAGTCACAGACGGGGTCATATGCTATATGGTCAAATCTGTACACAAACAGCCAAGAGAAGCTCAAGGAAGTCCGTGAATGCATAGATGCTTACCTAGAGGACCTGAATTCTCCAGCTGCCGACCCAGTTGCTCCACAGTCACAAAAATCACCAGTTGAATATTCAACACCAACACAAACAACACCTGATGATATGTTCAGCAACATCCTGGAGTACATAAGATGCAAAAACAAGAAATTTGCCAAGAGGTAAGACATCATCTTAAAACTTCTACTGTTATATGATGTTACTGTAGTGATCTAGTTTGTTACCATATGGTAAAATATGGTAAGATATGGTAAAATTAGACAAATCTATGGTTTAATGTTACAAAATGTAGTAATGCACAAGTCCTGTTTTGTTTTAGTTTAATACCATATGGTATGATGTGGTAAGCTAATGTTTGTTGTTAAAGAATGGATTAAACCATAACTCCTGTTCTATTTTACTTATTACCATATGGTAAGACGTGGTAAGCTGGTGTGTTTCACTTATTACCATATGGTAAAATGTGGTAAGCTGGTGTGTTTTACTTATTACCATATGGTAAGATGTGCTAAGCTGGTGTGTTTCACTTATTACCATATGGTAAAATGTGGTAAGCTGGTGTGTTTTACTTATTACCATATGGTAAGATGTGCTAAGCTGGTGTGCTTTACTTATTACCATATGATAAGATGTGGTAAGCTATGGTTTTGTTGTGGTAACCTATTGTTTGATGTGATGAATTAAAGTAAACCATCCGTCCTGTTGTGATGTGCTTGTATACAGTGATGAGATCATGTTTAAAAGGAAGGATGGAACATTCATGCTGAAAAGGGAGTCAGTACAGTCGATTGACATTGGCTGTGAAATCACATCTGATGTCATCGGCTGGTATGGAGATGTAATGAACAGAAATGAAGCCAAAAAAGGAAAATTCACAAAGTGGTTCTTCGATACATCTTTGGCAGTAAGTAAACCCACCCATATTCTGTCAAAAGTTCTTAGACAACACATATATAAAACACATAATAACAACCACAACTTTCAGGGTGACTGCCAACTGGACATTGATAGTGGCAATCCTGTACTATCTCCAGACGATTACTACAACAAAGTCGACTTGGACATCACCAACAAAGAATGGGCCAAAAACCTCAGCTTCACAGAATGTAACCTTGTAAGTATCTCACCACAATTTTTGCAGTGGTTACCATATGGTATATAGTGGTAAAATTAGTTTGCAATTGTTCTTAACTTAACTTACTGTTCATCACTTATATGGCACCTGCTTACCATATGGTATACTGTGGTAAAATTATTTTGCAGTGGTTCTTCCCTTACTGTAATAACAAGCACTACATCATGATTTGTGTCAACATCAAAGCAGAGAGATTTGAAGTGCTCGACAGTCTCCGTCACAAAGATTTTGAAAAAACATACAAATCAATGGCAGAGAGAGTTGTCCAGTACGCAATCAACTACATGAAGACACAGTTTGCAGACAGGACAGTAAGGTGGGAGAGGTTTAGCTGGTTCAAGCTCGAGAAGGTTACACAACCAGATCAAATTTCATGTGGGATGTACGTCATCAGGTGGATGAGACACTGGGAAGGTAAGTACAACAGTGCCCTGACCAAAGATTGGAAGAGGATTGATCTCATAAATGAAGAAAGGGAATGCCTGATGTTGGACATCATTCTTGATGAAGAAAATCTTGAACGGGAAAGGATCATGAAAGAAGCAACAAAGTACTGCAACATGAAGAACAAGAAGAAATAGTTGAAAGGAAGGAAATGAAAATTCTATTATCATTTGTGTTAAGTAGTAGAAGGGTATGAGTAAGCTTTTGAGAACAAACTCACAATGTTCAGTAGCCACTGCATTTTAATTAGTAGGATGGTATGAAACAACTTATTATGGTTTGTATTATGACTAAAAGAAATGTTCTGTTTTTTATTATGTTAGCAAATACTTAACATGTGTTCTTAATTCCCAAATTACCACATTTTACCATATGGTAATGTGTGGTAAATTATGATTACATGTTGTGTTTTGTTCGTTATCATATGGTAATGTGTGGTAAATTATGATTTCATGTTGTAAAATAGCAAAAAACCATAAGTCCTGCTGTCTTTTAGTTTGTTACCATATGGTAATGTATGGTAAATTATGGTTTCATGTTGTAAATAAGCAAAAAACCATAAGTCCTGCTGTGTTTTAGTTTGTTACCATATGGTAATGTGTGGTAAATTATGGTTTCATGTTGTAAATAAGCAAAAAACCATAAGTCCTGCTGTGTTTTAGTTTGTTACCATATGGTAATGTGTGGTAAACTATGGTTTCATGTAGTAAAATGTTGCAAAAATAGCAAAAAACCATAAGTCATGCTGTGTTTTAGTTTGTTACCATATGGTAATGTGTGGTAAACTATGGTTTCATGTTGTAAAATAGCAAAAAAACCATAAGTCCTGCTGTGTTTTAGTTTGTTACCACATTTTACCACATGGTAATGCACTGTAAAATCAATTACCACACATACCACTTCCAAAAAATCATATTTTACCACATGGTAAAATCAATTACCACACATTACCACATGGTAAAATCAAATTACCATAATATACCATATGGTATGGCATGGTAAAATCAATTATAAAACAGAACCTTCACATTCAACTTCCAAACTAGCACATTTTACCACCTGGTTTGACATGATAAAATCAAATTACCACATTATACCACATGGTATAACAGTGTAAAATTAATCCAACAAAACCAAAAACCCATCCAAAAGAACAAAATAGCTTCAACAACTCAACCAGCATCAACCATTCATTCAGATAATCCTCTAAGAAAACTATTACAGCTTCAGCCTTAAACTTTCTTCAACAGCCTTCAAATTCTCCTCCTCAAGCCTGCTAGTTTTTCTCTTCTTCTTGCTTACAGCCCTTGCAGCCTCCGCAGCTGGAATTGGTCGTTTCGAAGGCTTGAATGAATCTTTTTTAGGCTTAAACCCCTTCACTTTTTGGACCGGTACATCATCTATACCAAGATAACAAAAACAAACTACAATCAATGACAGATAACAAAAACAAAAACAAACTCTAAACAATTAAAAAAAACTTACTGTCACCGTTAGAAGATGTGCTTGTTCCAGCAGGTTCAGTAATCGATAAGGCTTCACACTTTTTGATCAAATCAGTCATGAAGGCCATGGCTGATTTATACAAATCATCATCCAATGCAACCCTGCTGATCATTGATGCAGAAACAGCTGACAGATTGAAAAGATGAGAACGGTATTTCGATGGACTATCAGTAGACGGAACTTCAAAAGAAAAGTTCCCTCCAGTTTTCGCTGCCCTTGTCCACCGCTTCAAAATCAAACTGCTAGGAATGTGCTGGAACTTCAGATTGCACGTTGTAGACCACAACATATCATATCCCTTAATTTGATGCTTACAGATCATACCACTTGACTCCCACTTACGGCACGAACACTTGATTTCACCGTTTTCAAAATCAACCTTCAACACCCTACTATCCAACCTTGTAAGGTCATCCTCCAATATGAAGACATCAAACAGTCCTACATGTCCTTCTGGTTCTATCTCCGTATTGGAAAAGATATTATACGCAAGGGATTCCTTGTACTGATCCAGGAAAAACTTGAATATCTTCGGCGTATACACATTAGCAACTTGCTTCACAATAGGGCTAGTAGAAAACCGAGAATCAGCCAACCTAGATAACGCATAGTACTCTTCTTGTTCTTCAGCATCCCTCTTATTATCAAGCATCCTCTCAAAGTGCACAAAGAACCTACTAACGCTAAACTCTGACTGCAAGTAATGTCGAATATTACTATTGCAGCACTCACTTAGCTGGGTACTCTTCATTCCCGCACCAAAATGACAATTCACCCAGGCTGAAGACCACTTCGTCCTGACTTTGTAAATGCCCTGTAACCAACTGTGTCCCAAAGGTCCCTTCCCAGGAAAACACTTCTCAATCATCTTCTTCCAATTATACTCAAAATCATCCTCATCATCAGCATTATACATCAAATAACTAAGCTCACGAAGGAAGTCAGAGTCACACAAACTTCCCAGATTAACAACTGCATTCTGAGCAATATGCCATGTACACAACCCATGAAAACAATCTGGGAAAACAGACCTTATACCAGCAGCAATTGCAGCAGCCTGGTCAGTAAACATTGATAACGGTCTCACACCTCCCATGCATTTCAAAAACTGATCGAAAAGCCATTCAAATGTTGCTGTTGTTTCATCATAGAGAAGAGCAGCCGCAAAGACAGTCAGTTGGTGATGATTGTTGAAACCAACAAACAAAGCTACATAAACATAACAAAATGTGAGTAAAAACAATTCTACCAACACATACCATGTGGTAAAAGGTACGAATAACAATAATACCAACCCATACCATATGGTAAAGACTCATACCATGTGGTAAAGACTTCTAAGAACAAAAAACACCACAAATAACCTTGTTACCAACCCATACCATATGGTAAAAGACTTTTAAGCACAAAAACCACCTCAAATAACCTTGTTACCAACCCATACCATATGGTAAAAGACTTTTAAGCACAAAAACCACCTCAAATAACCTTGTTACCAACACATACCATATGGTAAAGTACTTTTAAGAACAAAAACCACCTCAAATAACCTTGTTACCAACACATACCATATGGTAAAAGACTTTTAAGCACAAAAACCACCTCAAATAACCTTGTTACCAACACATACCATATGGTAAAATACATTTAAGAACAAAAAAAAAACATGATACAGAATGATAATAATAATACTCATACAAACTAACAAACACAATAATAAACAACAAACTAGAAAACATACCTAGTGGCCGATACTCTTTGTTAGTCCGGTAAGTAGTATCAAAACTAATTGAATCACCAAAATAATGATAATCCATCCTCATCTTCCCATCTGCCCAAAAGATACTAGCAATGTTCTCTTCAACATCAACCTCCACCTCATGAAAGAACCCAGGATCCAGCTGTGCTTGACGTCTAAAGTATTCAAGCAATGCAGTCGCATCACCATACTCCATTGATGACGTCCTAACCGTTCGCAGATGGTTCTTCAAATCATTCTTTGTGAACCCAACAAACTTCCGACCACCACCAGCCCTACTAATTGCATTATACGAAGAAGTCACACCAATACCAGCAGCATCATTCACCTCTGCCAGCATCTTATACACAGGAGCCATTCGTCTGCTGGATCTCACATAGTGACGCAGAGACTCAGGAATCATGTCATGGTTGTGCACATTATACCAACGATAGATCTTGTAGCATTTAAACTCTTTAAACCACCTCAGTCGTATATAAGCACCATTACATCCACCCCTGAGTTCTGGAACATTACGAACACGAACTGTCGTATCAACAACACCTGCATTATCAGGGTTATTCTCGCTACCTCTTTTCCAACCTTCCTTATTGCAACAATACTTGATATAATATACAGCTGAAGAACCACCATTGAGTTTCGGACACGCTGATTGGTTATAAATCCTCACACCAAAACCTTCATGATTCCCATAATCAACATAAAAATTATATGCATCATCTGGTGTATTGAACTCTAAGTCCTTCCAAGCATCACGAACAGTAGGATCTATACCATTGAAACCTACAAACATTATGAAACAACATATTAAATGGATTCCACACCACAACAGTATGAAATATCAATGTATACCAATAATTACAGCCATGATACAAGAGTTACCACCATAGTATGACATGGTAAAATCAAACTACAACACTATACCACATGGTATGGCATGGTAAAATCAATTATCACACAGAACCCACACATTTAACTTCCTAATTACCACATTTTACCACATGGTAATGTACTGTAAAATCAATTACCACATGATAAGGCATGGTAAAATCAAATTACCACCCTATACCATATGGTATGGCATGGTAAAATCAAACTACCACACTATACAACATGGTATGGCATGGTAAAATAAAATTACCACACTATACCATATGGTATGGCATGGTAAAATCAACTATCACACAGAATCCTCAAGTTTAACTTCCTAATTACCACATTTTACCACATGGTAATCTACTGTAAAATCAATTACCACATGGTATGGCATGGTAAAATCAAATTACCACACTATACCATATGGTATGGCATGGTAAAATCAACTATCACACAGAATCCTCAAGTTTAACTTCCTAATTACCACATTTTACCACATGGTAATCTACTCTAAAATCAATTACCACATGATAAGGCATGGTAAAATCAAATTACCACACTATACCATATGGTATGGCATGGTAAAATCAACTATCACACAGAATCCTCAAGTTTAACTTCCTAATTACCACATTTTACCACATGGTAATCTACTGTAAAGTCAATTACCACATGATAAGGCATGGTAAAATCAAATTACCACACTATACCATATGGTATGGCATGGTAAAATCAACTATCACACAGAATCCTCAAGTTTAACTTCCTAATTACCACATTTTACCACATGGTAATCTACTGTAAAATCAATTACCACATGATAAGGCATGGTAAAATCAAATTACCACCCTATACCATATGGTATGGCATGGTAAAATCAATTATCACACAGAAACATCACATTTAACTTCCTAATTACCACATTTTACCACATGGTAATGTACTATAAAATCAATTACCACATGATAAGGCATAGTAAAATCAAATTACGACACTATACAAACTTCAATAAACAAACAAATTTGCATATCTTACCTCCTGATTCACCAGAGTTAGCTGAATGATCAAATCCAAGATCAATAGATGAAGAAGCAGTTCCAACAGCACTAGATGAAGAACCAGATCCTACAACGCTGGTTGAAGAACCAGATCTATCAATTGGAACAACATCGCCACAATTTACGTTACTCATCTCACCAGAATACTGCCAAAACACCAAAACACAAAGAACATAACACATGAACAAGCTCGATTAGCTAAACATAAACAAGCTCGACTAGCAGCAATCAAAAACCTCCAACGAAACCAGAGATCAACAGAAAACTCGATTAGCTAAACAGAAAGAATCAAAAAAACTAATATCTAACCTCGTCGTCGATCAATTATGGAGAATCAGAAAAGATTCGCCGTCCCCTGTTTCGCAGCCGCTGCTCGCAATTTCTCTCTACAAAAACCGAATCCAACTCGCGCACACGTCGATCAATTATGGAGAATCAGAAAGCTCGATTCGAAGCTGCTGCTCGCAGTTTCTATCGCCGTCGATCAACAATGGAGAATCGCCGTCCTTATTTCTCAGCTGCTGCTCCCCCTGCTCGTAGTTTCTCTCTCCAAAATCCGAATCCAACTCGCGCACAGAAAGATTTGCAACGGACAAAGAGGGAAAGTCATTTAATTCAAAAATAAAATATCGGACAAAAATGCCCCTGACCGTGGACAAAAAACCCCGCATCAATCACAGCCACAAGATCCGTCCCGCCAAGATCGACGGTCCCTATGTGGTTACTCACGGGTGAGTAACAAAGGGTTACTCACCCTATCCTAAGCCTCGAAATACCATCCGATAGGAGGGTAGTTTTGGGAAAGGAGAAAAGAAACTCGGTATTGGAAAGAAGGGGAAAAACTTGCGGGGGCATAATTGGATCGAGAAAAACTGTCGCGCTGAAAGGAGGAAGAAAGGAAGGAAAGCGCAGAGAAGAAGAGCATTCGTGAAGGTACGATTTTCTCCTCTTCCTCCTCCTACTGCTGTTTTCTCTTCTTTCCGCTCTCGTTTTCTTCTCGAGAGAGAACGGAGTGGAGTATTTGTGCTGAGATATGTTTCTGTAGTATCGAATTGATGTTTTAAAGCCTAATAATCGCCGGCAGAGTTTGCTTGCGAATACTTTCTCGCACTTTCTCCCGAGCCAAACAGAAACTCTACGGATGTGTAGCTTTGAGTCTGTGTTTTTTTGGATTGCTTTATGTAACATCTTGCGTACAGATTGTTAGAATGGTTGTGTTTTTGTTGTTGTTCGTTAATGGCGGAGTCCATGATTGGATTCCATGGCTCTAGGTTCAGGTCGTTTGTCCTGAAGAAGAAGAAGAAGAAGATGGATTGTACTCAGTACTCATCTTCTATATGTTAGGCGTTCTTCATAGATTAGCTTACTGTTCTTTGCAATTTATCTGCACTAATTGTATTAGCTGAAGTTCTATCTCATAACCCTGGTGTTCATCTCTATCTTAAGCGATTGGAAACTTTTGAAACCTCGCCTATCCTGCGTCTGCTTCATAGTTGGGCTTCTGGTTCTCCGAATTTGATGATTATGTTCAAACTTTGTGAAGATTTTGTTCTCCTTCCTTCTTTCTTGTACGGATTTACAACAGGGAAATCACTCGTTTGGATACACCTGTCTTGCAATCTCAGTTTTCTTCTTCTTCTTCTTCTTATGGGACTGTTCCATTGTTGTTTTTCGGTCGCCTTGTTGAATTGTGGTTTCCTATTGTTTTGTCAACTTTTATAGAATCTTCCTTCGAATTCTTACTTATCTCATCATTCCATATCTCCTTGCTGCATTAGCTTATGTTCAACGTGATTATTTTTTCCTATCCATAATGATGTGTGTCACCAATGCTGGTTGCATTTTTGCTTTGCTTAAATGTATTTCGCTGATTTCATTGACGATTTTGACCAGGTGCCTTTCTTGCTCAGTGTAATTAGAGGTCAATCAACTGTATCGTCTGCAATTTGGCTCTGGAAAATGACGTAATTATGGATTTCTCCTTCTCTCTCTTCATTCTGTTTCCTTTTGGGATATCTATTGGATCCTTTCTGTACAAGTGAATTGTAATAATAAAAAAAATGTACCCAATGAATACTAGTTTTGTATATATGTCAATTAGATATCAGAAGTGAAATTTGGTTTCCTTAACATGTTTGTAGGGGAGGTAAAGGACGTGTAAGATGGGATGAAGATAATCTGGGGGAGATTGAGGCTAATAAACCTGTGAGGCAAAAAATTACTGAGCCTAAGACACCATATCACCCCATGATTGATGATGATGGTAAGTCAATGGCTCCTTGATTTGAATACAGTGAACTTTTTACATAATAGCGCAGAAAAGCATGCAGGGTGTGGTTGTTCGTCTTTCATCTTCCCAATTTGTCGAACAGAGTTTGTGAAGGGCTTTTAGTTGTTAATATATTTTAGGTACCTTTTGTTTTTTACTGAAAGTGGAATAAGAGTGTATTTATTAGAAGTTCTCGTTTTGGCAAGACTTGCTGTTTGTTTAGTTCCTCCTTGTACATAATTTTATTTCTCGCCGTGCCCTAATGCAATCGGAATTTGGTTGATTGCATACAGGCACTTTATCTCCTGCTAAGGATAGCTTTGATGAGCCCGTTGATGACGTTATGCATGCTGAGGAATTGCGAACGGCATTACACACTGTGGCTTCTTCATCGAGCGGAAACTCCAGCAGACGATCTACTGGCTGGACATCATCCGAAGATGAAGCTGACCTTATGGAACAAGATGATGAAGGTCTTGACCTCATACTTCCTCTCTTTGGTTTTTTTCTGTGTCAGTTCAGTTACTTCTTACTTATGGTTAGGTACTTAGGTGGCCTTTTTTTGGTAGAATAGGTGGGCCTTTTTCTACGTAATAGAGGAATCCGAGGTGTTCTAATGGATTAGCTGTTACACCTATCAAATGTTATGCAGTCAGATTCTTCATATTAATGGGGATAATAAGGTAAAGGGAACAGTCTAAGAAAGAAGTTCTGAAGAATGAAATATATTATAATTTTTAAGCATTTGAAGCATAATGTGATGCAAGTAAACATGATATGAAGTTTACTCAGATGGTGAAATCATGATATACCATAAGTTTACTCAGATGATTCACATGTTCTCTAAGACATAACTCGGGACTTTTGTCATGCAATTGCTAGGCCTACTAATCGTGTAGTCTCTTGTGTGCAGTAGTTAACAAGAACAGCATGCATAACTGCAGTCGAAAGTTCTGAATTTGATTGCCTTTGCTTTCTTTTTTTTTTTTTTTCACCTTTGATATTCCCTCAGAGTTTGATTCATCTATCTTTCTCAACAACGTTGCCAGATAACGAAACGGACAGGAAAGCTTATTTCATGGAGCTTAGAAGAGCACACTACGACGAGTTCCGGAAAGTGAAAGAACTCAGGCGCAAGGGCTCGTTGTTGGAGGACGAGGAGGCTGAAGAAAACGGCCATGCCAAGGAGAACAA